TATATATATATATATAAATTCTGCTATTTTTTAAAATAAAATCAATGGTTTTACTGATGTAAAAATTGAAATGTAGCTGTTTCAGTCTCATTGTATTTGTGCAGGTAAATGATTTGCTCTAGAGCCCGACTGAAATATCGGTATCGGCGAATATGCCGCCGATATGATCCTTTTTTTTTTACAGAACATATAACGCAGATTAAATGCTTCTGAATGGTGTAATTACTTAGTTTGTCCAGCAGAGCGCGCTCCATTGTTTGCTACTGGACCCAGGTCAGCGTAGTATAGTGATGCGTGGAGGAGCTCAAACTTCACCAGAGTCCGCTGCTTCAAATTATCCGCCCGCCACCCACCCGCACCTATATTTGATCGTCACATTACAATGATTCTAATTCTTAGTTTTGCATGATGATATGATGAATGGATGGTTCATTTTAACAGCAGATTCAGCAGACTAGAGCGGATCTGCGCTCCACAGCACGCGTCTGCGGCGCATTAAAGCCTGTGTTACGGCCACCGGAGCTGATCGCGGCCACTCAATGCTGGTGTTTACCGGCCGCGCTGTGGCCCAGAACTCATGCTTATTACATCGGTCACATCACATCGTGCGGCGCAACAAAATACAATAGAATTCAGTAAACTGATGCCTCGTTCTATTTATGACGTGCTGACAGAAGTTCATATGATTTTCAACGGTCGCTTTGACGTGTTCTGTTGCGGCGCAGACACGGTGTCAGCATAGTTTGTCAGTACAGTCAGTAACGTAGCAGATTGAAAAGTTAGTATCTTTCTGCAGTAGACAGCAGTGCGGTGGTGGCTTGAGTCTGTTGAATGGCGATTTAACGCTACGTTGTCACCTACTTGGAGAGACTCAATGCTAAGTAAATAAACATCAATGCCCTCGTCTTTTACTCTCACAATGAGCTTATCATATTCGTTTGCTACATTAGTAGGGCCCTATGATTTCCGCGATGCAGACAACATGGACGGAATCCAGGCCCGGATTGGCTAATCGGGAATTGCAAAAAATGTGTTTATGTATATATATTCTGTTTATGTAGGCTATATACTGTATTCTATATACAGTACCAGTCAAAAGTTTGGACACATGAATGGGAAGTGTGTCCAAACTTTTGACTATACTGTACTATAATATAGCCTACACAAAGAATATCGGCCGATATATCGGTATCAGTCTTTTTTTACTCCCTAATATCGGTATCGGCATCGGCCCCCAAAAAACCAATATCGGTCGGGCTCTAATTTGCTCTGTGCAAAAATAAATCATTCTCATGAGCTACAGGTCACTGTCAAACACACTTTCAGCTTGGTTTTACAGCTGCTCTTACCTAATTTGGGCAGATGCTCCTTGTAGTAGTATCCTCCCTGCATATCCGACACGTATTTCAGATCCACCTTGCCCTTGTGGCCCATTCTGTAGACGTTTGTGGTTCCGCTGGACCAGGTGACACTAGCCACGCTACGACCCGATTCCTGATCCCATCCACGAATATCCACCACCTTCCCGACCTTCCCCTCACCTCCTGCTCGCTCGCGCACACACACACACACACACACACACACAGAGACAGAAGCAGCACAGGGCAGCAGTCTCAGACCAACATCAGCAGCTTTGAAGGATATAAACATGAGAGACGGGAGAAAACCTAAATGCATGCATTTTGTCTGGAAGAAATTAGAAATCTGATCAGAGCAGAGTAGGGTCAGAAAATGCATCTGAAAAGAACCAAATGTTGAGAATACCTGTGGTTTTATACGCTAAATTTTGAGATTTAACCATAATCTGCTTATGATGTTATGATGCACCATACAGCTGTGAGTGTTGCTGAATGTAAAGCTGATATGATGTGGTTTCCCATGGAAAACTTTAAATGCAAAGAAAAACACTCCCAAAATAAGAGACTAGTTACATTTTTACTAGCCAGAGCCGATGACGTGTTGAGTGTGTGCTGTCGCTGACTGTGACGACTGTGAAAACAGTGGCTGTGACCTGAAGCACAAGCTTAGCGCTACCTTAACCACACTGTTTATAGGAGAATAAACACCAAACCAGGCCGTGTTCAAAACACTTACTTTACTGGAAATCTGTGTGCGGCTCAAGTCTCCTCTTTATATGGAGTCAGGAGTTACCGTGCATCTCATTAACACGGAGGGGAAAATAATCCGTAAATCATGACTTGAGTTTCATCATGTTACTGTGCTTTATCTACAGCAGTTTTTGAATTTGATGTTGATTTGCTTATATGAGTAACAGTCCTAATTATTCTACTTCATGCAAATGGAAGAAGATGGAAAACACTGTGTTGTCATGTTAATTAATGGATAGAAATATACCATCATCAAAGGAATAAAATCAACTCCGGGAAGCAAATATGGCCTGTTTCTGACACTGGATCAGAGTAAATGACACGTAACAACTAAAACACACCAAAGCCAATATATAAGAGCCAAGATTTCACTTTTCGCAATGAAAAGATACAGCAAGGGAACAACAAAGAAATACTCAAAAAGCTATGGCAAATACAGGAGAACACAGCTGAATCTCACAAACCCCGTCAAGATTTACCCCAAAATCACAAGACGAAATAAGCAATCATATTTTGCATGAAGAAAATCAAGGCTATTTTTCACGACCAATGTCAATCCTACTCTTTAGCTTTTCTTAACAGTCCTAAGAGTAGACCTCATTTTCTTTATGGGAAATATGTGCACAAAGGGAAATGTCATAATTCAAACATTTTAATGGTCTTAAATCCTGAGAAAAGGTTGAATGGAAAACCTTTCTGACTTTCTCTTTTGATTTTGGGTGAAATACGGACATGTTCACAAGCTCTGTGAGATTCATCATCACATCTGCTACAACATCTAATAACCACCATCACCAGCTAACACACACGAGTTCAGCAACAACTAACCAGCACTAAAACGCAGCAATGACAGCCAGAATATGTTTACAGATCACACACATAACACAGAGAACACCAGAGAACCTCACCGTCTACAGACGTCTGCGAGGATCAGCCAGTGATCACCACATGGACATTTTGACTCATTCATCATTAAAGTCATTCAACATTTTAAAATAATATGAAAATATCTTCACACGAGAACATGTGCAAGTGTTTATAGAAACAGCAGAGTAGATGATAAAACAGCATGACACTGTCCAACACTCCCAGTGTCTACATCCCATGAGTTCAAAAAAGTGTTCACATTATACAACTCATATGTGACCCTGGACCACAAAACCAGTCATAAGGGTCAATTGCTGAATAAAAGCTGAATAAATGAGCTTTCCATTGATGTATGGTTTGTTAGGATAGGACAATATTTGGCCGAGATACAACTATTAGAAAATCTGGAATCTGAGGGAGCAAAAAAAAAATCACAATATTGAGAAAATCACCTTTAAAGTTGTCCAAATGAAGTTCTTAGCAATGCATATTACTAATCAAAAATTAAGTTTTGATATATTTACGGTAGGAAATTTACAAAATATCTTCATGGAACATGATCTTTACTTAATATCCTAATGATTTTTGGCATAAAAGAAAAATCTATAATTTTGACCCATACAATGTATTTTTGGCTATTGCTACTAATATACCCCAGCGACTTAACACTGCTTTTGTGCTCCAGGGTCACAAATGTTATCAATGTGAAAAAACAACAACAGCAAAGGCACTTCCCTTTCCAAAAAAAAGTCTCTCGTTCCTGATCCTGGAGAGTTTCGTTTCAACCGTTTCAACCAGAATTTCCAGGCAAACCCAAAGACCTTGACTGGTTTATTTCAGAGCGTTTCATCTGAATTCAAACTAAACTCTCCAGGACCAGAAACTGCAAATGTCCATCCTTAGAGTCCCACAGACCCTAGACTGACGAGATTCAGTTCCTGTGTCCTATAAGCTCTACAGATGCTGCACTGAGTAGATCCAGAACTTTCCTCTGAGCCTTTGAGACTCTGCTGATCAGGATGAGAGCGGCTGAAACTCAATGAAGCAAAGCATGCAGTGTCAGAGGTGTTAGCGAGCGTGTCTCACCGTCTTGGTTGCCCCAGTCCCAGTCGGGCCCCCGGACCACCTTCACCCCCTGGAAGATTCCTTTCAGGATGATTCTGGACAGGTTCTGTCTCGGCGTCAAGCTCACTCTGAGTTTGAGAGAAGGAAGAGCCAGTTATGACCCTGAGGAAACCTTCAACCTTCCTTACCCGTCTCATCCAATTAAGCTCATGTTTCACAATGCTCCCTTTGTGAACTTCATTTGTTTTTACCAAAAACAGTCTTTTCTCATGACTGAAGCTCATACAAAATGTGCATTTAATATTAAATATTGAAATTAAACAAATGAAATTGACACTAAATGCATTGGAACTGGACAATTACTGAGAGGAAAATAAAACACTACTTTTATTTTTTTAGGTATGCACATTTAAATTGTGGATAAAAATGGACTGCATTCCCTTTTGGAATTTCCCGAAGCAAAATGAAACTGACACCCCCAATTCCCAATGTATTTCTATACTGTAGCACTTTCCACAATAAAAGCAATCACACAGACTCACAATTGGCTCAACTATTATTAGCTCTAGTTCTAGTAGAGCGCAGTGAAAGGTTCGCACATAGCTTGAATGCATTGTAAGTCACTTCAGATTGAATCACCTGCCAAATGCTTACATAGAAACACAGAAGGTAATCGCAGCGCTGCAAACATGGCATCAGCCTGCAGCTAAAGACGGCGAACCATGTCAAAATCACTGATTACACACTCACTGAGAGCGACGAGAGGATGCTCACGGTGAGAGAAGACTGTATTTCATTGTTTCTGGTTTGGGAATGTGTGCTTGAGGACGTTAGGCAGATTTTGTACAAGAGCAGCATAACTGGAAACACATGCTTTCAATACAGCTAATGACAGACAGGCTGTCTTATGTCAACAAACTAAACTCTTCAAGAGCATGCTGCCAAATATCCTGGCAAGCAAATAACAACCAATAACAGCACATACCTTATAGTAAAGATCTGATCTGATCGAGGAGCGAAGGAGCTGCCTATTCCCATCATTCATCCACGGGGTCAAGCATCAACGCTCACTGCCCGGCTCGACCTATCCCATCAACTCCAGCAGACTCATGCGTCAGATATCTCTGCTCTGCTTTGATTTTCTCTTAAGGGCCGCTGTACGGAGCAGTAGTGTCCTTACGAACGCTCTCTCGCCATATGGCAACACCTGCACGGCTTGGAGGCTTAAAACACAACCAGGATCAATGTCTAAGCAGTCTGTGGCTCTCGTATCGCAGGTGCGCGTCTAAGATCAAAGGTAAGACGTAATCCACAGGCTGTCTGCGTGCCACTGTTTATGCACACGCAACAGAGACGGATGATTTATGAACTTTGAGAGACTGACCGGACACATCTCTCTCTGTTCTGACAATTAAAAGATGGCATATTAAATAATGTTTGCTGCCGAGGGTTGCACTACTTTTAAACTGTGGGTTGATTTTTTTTTTCCTGCGGGAGATTAAAGGCTTGAGATACTGAATAAAGTGTATCTGAATGAAATGCTTGTATCAGATTATTTTTCCCATTTTTATATTCTACCAGTGATAAAACTGTGCTAGATGATGAGTTTTGTTAAGGGGGGAGCCATTCAGCTCCTGTGTTTTTTTATGATTCCCATTATTTAGTAATTTTCAAGTTGTAATTGTGCATGAAACATACCTGTGACTGTAAAAATATGTATTTATGTGAGTGGCATATTTTGAGTTTTGGTACTCGAGATAGGCTCATTGGGCTAGTTTTGTTTTGCAGACCTGGCAACCCTGGTCATAAGGCCAAGAGGCCTTTTCTTCCAAGCAAAACATTTTACAAAAGAGGTTTGTTATGGTTCAGATTCTGAAACAAAAGGATCTAGAGTTGAAAATAGAGGTCGACCGATGTATCGGTTTTCCCGATTAATCAGAACCGATAGTCGATTGCTGGAACTATCTGCAAAAATCCATGCCATATGGATAAAAATCCTTATTTTTTTCTGGGTTGCGTCTGTTGCTGGAGCAGCTGAAGCTCCGCTGTCATTATATAGTACGAGAGCGAGAGCGGCCTCTAGTGGCGGAAATCACTGACAGCACGTGCTGTTTGTTTTGACACGAGACACTTCAGATGAATGTTTAAAACATTGACAACCAAACGGTGTGTACACAGTACACTTTAGTGCATGTTTTCATATCATTATAAAGTAATTAATTTGTTGACTAGATGCTGCATTAGTGGAGAAAGCACAGCAGTATGTTTGCTCTCAAGGCTGAGAGGACACTAACATTAGCAGCACCTCAAGCGGTTAAAACATGTGACCAAAACACACGCAAGTCTGACCCAAATGCTTAATGTCACGATTGCTACGATCTATTTGCATTAGTTTATATCTAGCTGGTCACTTTAATGCATTTGTTATCCAGCGAATTTGCAGATGTAAAGCTGTGACGTGAGAAAACAAACTGATCTGTTCATTCAGCCGCAGAGCGCCATTCACACAGTTCTACATTAAATTACATTATATTTGTCCCATTATATTTGTTTATGTACATGAAGACTTCACCCTGGTCTGGAAGATTGTGCATTTTTAAGTGAAACTTGTCTTTCTGTGACTCTAATAAAGTCTGCATGCTTCATATGGAGAGCTATGATATAGGCCCTGTCCCAAATGGCACACTTCATGTGCTCTTGTGGACTTGCACTGGGGCGAGCTCCACAGCAGACTTCTACCCGACAGTCAAAGCGGCATTACGTCACGAAAGTGTGGACTCAGAGGAAGACCGCGAGGGTTTAAGGTGCGATTTGGGACAGGGCCATAGATTGCTCTTTTTCCGATTTGCTGTTTTGTTTTTTCAAACACCGAACTCTTCTATGCCGCTTTTTGATCATTCTTGAAGTGAACTTTTGTGTTTGATGATTAAATAAACTATTTTAGGCCGCCGCTTGAACTGAATGCGATGCCATCTGGTGTGTGTGATTCCTGATCTGGTGTGCGACTGCCATATTTTGTTATTTTGATCAGATAATCATCAAGTGTTCTAGAATAGAAGCAAATAAAGTGTGACAGCATACAAAAAATATCCATATGTATGTAATTTCAATGCTATGGCCTTTGTGTAGGCATTAAAAAACAGCCATCTTTAAGCAAGACTGTTGATGTGAAATGGTAGCACTTTACAATAAGACTCCATTTGTAACATGAACTAAGGCTGATAACAGCTGTAATCTGTGTTTATTATTTGGCTCACTTCAGGTTGGGTTATGCACTGATGTGGACCAGTTCTAGGCCCGCAAACATGTACTATGTACTAATCTGGGCCACACTTGATTTGGAGATCTGAGCCAAAGGAAATTTGCTGACTGGGGAATTGTTCCTTGCTAGAGTGTGTTAATTTCAACATTAACGAATACATTTATACATTTTTACAGTTGCTTCTGTTAACGTTAATGAACTATGAACTAACTTTAATGATCAATATATAATTAATATTTAATATTAATATTTTCATTCATTTACAAAGTATGTTTTATTATTATATATAGTTTTTTGGGTTAAATAGTAAAGCATTCAGTATTTATTTTAAAAGTTATCGTTTGATTAATCGGTATCGGACAGTGTGGACCAACCTAGCTGTCGTATCGGTAAAATCCACTATCGGTCGACCTCTAGTTGAAAATAATGACAAAGCTATTGTCAAACGTCAGAGTTCAGGTGATGAACTCCACTTGTGTTCCTCTACTGTACTCTATTTTATTCTCAGTATCATCAATGCTGAAAACATTATTTGCTGCCTAATATTTTTTATGGAATCTATAATTTTTTCAGGATTCTTTGATGAATAGAAAGCTCACTGAAGAAATCTTTTGTAACATCATAAATTATTCAGAAATGTTTCTCAAACAGTAAATCAGCATATTAGAAGGATTTCTGAAGATCATGTGACACTGAAGACTGGAGTAATGATGCTGAAAATTTACCTATGTATGATCACAGGAATAAATTACATTTTAAAATCTATTCAAATAGAAAGCAATTTTAAATAGTAAAAATATTTCAACATTTTACTGTTTTTGCTGTACTTTGGATCAAATAAATGCAGCCTTGGTGAGCAGAAGAGAAAAAAAACAACAACATTAAAAATCTTGACATTGTCGTGGGCAAAGACTAACCACTTTAAAGGGCTTGGCTGCTGCTCAAGTTGAGGTGAGCTCACACTATTCTTGGTCTCTTGCTGATCTTTCAACAATGCGGTGTACTAGAGAGGGAATGTTCCAGATGTTGAAAGAATGTCTGCCGAAACACCATATGTATTAGATGTTGCAGAGCCTTTGCACTGTGGTTTCGTTATATTGCCCAAGGGATGGAGTATCATTGTTATAGCTAGCTCTCATTCAAACTCAGGAGCTTCATATCATGCCTGTTGCACAGTGGCACAGCAACTTTCCATTTGCACTAGTTAATATAACCTTTTTTTCTTCTTCTTTCTGATCAAAAACATTTAGAAAATTCATTTATTCGCAAAATTGCTGGTGTCATTAAAACAAACATTTTCTCATATTCTTGTTGATTTATTTATTTTTTCCCATATACCAGGCGCCGAGTGCTGCAATTAGTGGTCGACCGATATATCGCCAAGGCCGATATATCGGCCGATATTTGGCATTTTTCAAATATCGGCATCGGCCGATAAGTTTTTCTGGTTGGCCGATGTATTCGAGGCGGGACTTTTATTTTAACGGCGCTGAGAATGGCAGCGCCTGGGCACACACCGCTCACATTCTCCCTCTTGTTCGCTGTCGTCGTTCAGTTCTGTCTAATATGGATAGAAGTCTATCTAATAATCAGATAGAACTGTTAAACAAAGGAATTAAAATGTATACAAAAAGTATTATAACGATTGCTTTTATATTATTAGTAATAGATATTTAGTAATAGATAATTAGTAATTATAATACTTTCTCGTTTGCCGTCAGCATTCAGCAAATATGCATTTATATAATTTAAACAAATCTTTGAATGACTAATGAACATTTAATTTCACAAACCTTGCAGACTTAGTCGAATCTAGTTGAGATCTTGTGAAGTGTGCATGTGACCTGCATGATCGCGTGTTCTCTGGGTGACGGTCGATCCGTGCGATATGAATGCGGACAGGAGGAGAGTTCAGCTTCACTGGAGATCACGCGATCGACAAACTTTAAAGTTAGTGATTTCAAATTATGCTGCGCTTTATGCATTTGCCCGCTGTCATATTCATGTCATTTTCATTGATTGCTGTATGTAAAATTAGTGTTACCTTGGCTTTATTTGGGAAAAAAAAAAAAGATTCCCAAAGCACACAAACAGCCAGAATACTGAGTGCCCTGTTGGTTACAGTGTTTACTTCCTTTTTAATTAGATTTTTATGAAATATTTATTTATTTGTGAAAAATGCTTTGTCTTCTAATGTATAAGTATGTTTATTTTACACAATTATTTTTAATCAATTTTCAATTGATTTCAAATTTCTTAAATATAAATTAAAATAAATAAATTATATCGGCTTTATATTGGCCATCGGCCACCCTGCTTTCCACGTGTTTTTCGAACAACCTAGTATGAGAGCCTGTTCTAGTACACCCCCAAAACAAAATCAATACTTTGTAAAAGAGCATAATAGGACCCCTTTAACTAGTCTATATATTTCCTGATTTCCAATACAAATATCCTGGAAACAAAATAAATTTACTTGAGAAACAACACTGCATAAAACATCAAGTATTTGTTTGTAAAATCAAGCAAAAAATGTGTTTACAGAAATAGTTAAAATTAAAAAATATACGAGGAAAATGTCCTGGAGGATTTAAGTAAAGCTCTTATTTTTGTAAGAACCTACATGAGTTTTTTTTATTATTTGAACTGTCAGGGGAATCTTTCTTTTAAGTGACAAATTTTTTATGTGGATGAATGTTTTGTTACTGTATTAAAAGGAACTTTTACAGTTACATCATGTCTATTTCAGGTATCCTTGCTCATATCAGTGAGAATCTATGAGTGGAAATAACAGATATAAAGTGCCTCGTGCGTTTCTTCTGGTGTTGCCCAACAGACTTCCACTGTAAGTGCATTACTGTACTGTACACACTTTTGTTTTGACAAACTGAGGAACTGAGCGGAGGTTTTAGGAAAAGACAGACAGAAGGAGGGAGAGAGGAAGACTCACGGGTGCGAATGCGCCGTCTCGTAGCGCTCGAAGGCGTGCGTCAGGTCGTGCTTGTTGTTCATGTAGCACTGAGTGCACAGGTCGTAGTCGAAACACACCTTACACTTCCAGCGCATTCCCATGATGCCGTGCTTCTTACAGCTGTCACAGATGATGTTTGAATGTCGGACACCTACGTGGAAGAAAGGAAAATTACTACTAATTCTACCAATACCAATTTATTAAACGAAAGATCAGCACGTCTGATCCATAGAATAAGGTCATCTGAACTGAACTGATAGAATCCAGGAAACGCTGAAGACCGCAGCAGCGCAGGGAGTCTCTAAACACACTCATCCATTTTCCCGAGGCTTTACTCCATTAATCAGAAACACGTCGCTTGAGGCAGATGAGACTGGTTTTAATGATGCAGCAAAAGCATTTCAGTTCAGCATTAAGCATTTCCCTAGTTATAAACACAAGAGCCGGACTCTACTGCCGAAAGATAGAGAGGAAGGAAGGAAAGAAGCAACACATCTTGTTCACAGGAACGTAATGCACTTTGACAGACAGATATTGATCTCCTTCATATGAATGAAATATAATCAGTTCAGGGATGTACAGAACTGTGGAGTAACTGTTTAAGCCAGTAAGCATCTTAACCTGCGGCCAGTGCGTGTGTGTGTGTGGAGATAGATACACACACACACACTCACACATTCACACACATTTTCTCACACACTAACACACACACACTCTCACACTCACACTAGGGTTGTGACTGTGAGGAAATTTTCCCACCGGTTAATTGACATGTGACAACACCGGAAATACCGGTATCACCGCGGCGGCGGGGGCAGGGGCGTTCCCTCTTTTCCTCGCTTTCCTTCGCTTATAAATAGCTTAAAAGCACTGTGCGCATTTTACTTTCTCTTTCGAATTAGCGGCAGTTCGTCTTCAATTGCTTGAATGCAACAACAAAATACAACGTCAAACTCACTTTAGCCTATATATAAAACATAGAACTTTTATTAACAAAACAAATAAAAATACACCATGCTATAGGGCAGGCTATGCCTAATATAAAATAACAAATAACTTACATAAAGTTTAAATAGGTATACAAAACTGGTAAACATGTATAATATATAACCAAATAAATAAGAAACGTAGAACGTTTATTAGCAAAACGAGTAAGAAAGCTTGGAGGCACGGCATACACCTTGTTGTCAAATAAAATAAATAAATGACACAAAGTTTAAATAAAGTAAAAATCAGCAAACAATGTGGAACCAATTAAATAAGAACCGAATGTTTAAAAAAAAACTTCTGTGTAAAATAACTCAATGCCCTTTTTCTGAAATAGCGTGATTTATTTTAACCTTGCTTTCCATGTTGCATTACGACTGCAGGCAGCATCACTATGTTCTGTCAATAATGCAATATTTATAGACAAATGTACTGTATGGCATGCTGCATTTATTTAAATGAGTTGTTCTGGGTGACTGTTAAACATGCTATATATTAATAGTTTATGTGACCCTGGAGCACAAAAGCAGTCTTAAGTCGCTGGGGTATATTTGTAGCAATAGCCAACAATACATTGTATGGGTCAAAATTATTGATTTTTCTTTTATGCCAAAAATCATTAGGACATTAAGAGTAAAGATCATGTTCCATGAAGATATTTTGTAAATTTCCTACTGTAAATATATAAAAACTTAATTTTTGATTAGTAATATGCATTGCTAAGATACAGTGACGCATTGCTGCCACACACATATTTTTTTCCACTCAATTATGTCGTAATAACGAGATGTTTTCTCGTCAAAACGAGATGTTAAGTCGTAAAAACGATATTATTATCTCGTTAAAACGACATCTTTTCTCGTAAAAACGAGATGTTAAGTCGTAAAAACTATATTATTATCTCGTTAAAACGTCATCTTTTCTCGTTAAAACAACATTTTTTCTCGTAATAACGACATATTATGTCATAAAAACGATATGTTTTCCCGTTATTATAGATATATGGTAGGCTGTATGTGAGCGAGCTATCCAATAACTGCACTCAGACCCATGACTCGTTTATGACTGAAGTTTGATTTACCAACAAATCGAAATACGAACAAAAAGAAATAAAGAGATTTTCTAATAGGCTAATAATAATAATAATAATAATAATAAAATTAAAAAATGACTAATAATAATAATAATTATTATTATTATTATTATTTCGTTCTGTTTGAAAACGGGCAAACTAAAAAAAATTTAACTCTTTATTTCTTTTTGTTCGTATTTCGATTTGTTGGTAAATCAAACTTCAGTCATTCAAATAAAGAAATATTAAGCCCAGAGTCGATTATTCAAAAATAACCGTTTTGATCTGATCATAGCCTAAACGAGTCATGGGTCTGAGTGCAGTTATTGGATAGCACTAGCAGTTCAATGCTAATTCCTCCGTATTCTCTGAAGTCACAATGTAAACATGATTGCACACAAATATGGTAATTATTAATTTGTTATATATATCATACTGTTTTAGCCAAGCTCTGCTGCTGAACTGGAGGAGGTCTCACCGATCTGTGCGTTGTCGTACAGCAGCAGGTCGTAGGCGCTCTGGTATCCGGTGCGGTAATTCGTGCGAGTGCCGCTGTCCCACTGCACCACCACAGTTTTGTCGGGCGTAGTTGTGCTGCCCTGCCGGCCGATCTCCACCACCGTGCCCATGTGCCCCTCTCCTTCATCCTGGTTCCCCCACTTCCAGTCCAGGCCGCGCACCACGCGCATGCCCACCTCCATGCTGCCGCGCGCCGGCTGCCCGCTGTGGCCCTCGCTGGGCTTGCGGTGTGCTCGCGGGACGGGGGTCACTGCCTGGGCTCGAGGCACTGGGAGCGGGACGGTTCTGAGTAGGGCAGTCTCTGGAGACAGATCAGGGGTGACTGAAAGCACAAACAAGGACAGAGAAAATCAGCGTACAATCATTCAGAGAACACACACTCAAACCAAGACAGAGTCTTTCACATAATCAAGTCTAAGGTACTCGTATAGCGCTTTTCACATCACACATAGTTTTACAGAAAGCTGTACTGTTATGTCAGTAATGCCTTAGTGCTTTAAAGGTGACATATCATGAAAATCTGACTTTTCCAGGTTTTAAGTGCTATAATCCGGTCCCCGGTGCATCTACCAACCAAGGGAACGTGAAAAAGATTAACCCAGTAACTTTGTTTTGGGAAGCCTTTTTCTGCAAGCGTCTGAGAAAACGAGCGTGTCTGATTTCGCTCCCTTGGTGACGTGGCAAAGGGATCTCACTATAATATCACCGCCCCTTAATCTGTAAGTTTACACCCATGGGCGCCATTGTTTTTATTTCACAAGAGCTCTAATGCTACGGTGAAAGTTTGAGCAAAACATGCCAACTGTTCTGTGTTTGGCTGCACAGACGAGCACAGAACACTGTTTAGAGTCCCAGCCTCAGAGACAACAGAGCAGTGCATTTATTGATTTATTTACTGTATATTGCTGCTGCCACACAGATCTAAAATAAACGTGATTTATTTCCCAGCTGTTTACCTTCACAGACGTAACTGACTGTTTTTGTAACACGTGTGTTTTTAACGTAAACTTGTGTGTGAATGAGAACTTAGTTTAGTACTCACATGCTGTGACAGCCGCTTTCTTTGCGTGTGCTTCGGATGTGTGCTCTCAGAAAACCGTATATCAGAAGTTTAAACTCATATGGTTTAAAACGCATGATTTCAGCGCGATAAACATGATAGTCAGAACCAAAACAGATGTTTTTAGCAGGTCCGAGATGTAATGGCGCAGCTCTATTCTGTAAAGGGGGCGGGGAGCAGCAGCTCATTTGCATTTAAAGAGACAGGTCCGAAAAACAGCGTGTTTCTGCTTCCACTCAAAATAGGCATTTTCAAAATTATATAATAAATGATCTGTGGGGTATTTTGAGTTGAAACTTCAGACACATTCTGGGGACACCAGAGACTTCTATTACATATTGTAAAAAGGGGCATAATATGTCTCCTTTAACATAGAGAAAGTTTTATGGCTGTGTGATATGATGATATATAACAATTATATAAGTGATACTCCAGATTTAGACCCACTTCTGTAGAGCTTTATACATTTCAGATTGTTTTAAAGAGACAAACAGGAAAATAATGATTCAATGATGCAAATAGAGATCAATTCTGCTGTTAAAAAAAATATATAATAAATAAAAGAAGTATTTATACTACAATATTATATTACATTTACATTTATATGTAATATTGTATAGTCTAAAAAAAAAAAAAAAAAAATATATATACACATACACGTGTGTGTGTGTGGACTTTTTGTAGTAGTCCTTTACATTCGGAAATTCCGAAATGCCTACTATTACACAAAATTAAATTACATTCTACATTTTTCTCACTGAATGCCTTGTTTCACTCACAAAAGTAACATCAGAGAAGCAAAATGGTTTGCGAATGTGTTGTGTTGCTTTTAAAACAGACTGTTTCTGCTATGAAGTTTATTTTTCTGGTCAAACATCAATAAAATGCATCAGTGAAGTTGTCTACAAAGGCATAATTAGGACTTGTTTCTTTTTTATTATATTTCAACCCTATATTTCACAATTCAAGCCGTTTGTGTGCTCTCTCCAGCTGAAGGGCGATAAGCTAAGAGCACATGCCTCATATTCTCATGATGACTCAAGTATTTTTTATTGCTTTCCTTGCGGAAGCTGATTTTATGTCATATACTATAATATCCTTTTAACATTTTATCAGTCGCTTAGTCTCTATTTTTGACACACTGCTCTGGGAAGCTCCATCCACAATGGCAGCTCATTGGTCTAAAACTTTGAAGGTGGACATAATCTAAGCATGATCTGGCAGGAGCATGACATTGCTGTCATCCAGTATCTGAATGAACAGGACTGCAGACAAAGGCTGTTACTGATTCACTGATAAATCCCGCTTTAAAAGGTCTGATCCATAAATGCATGCGTTTTTTTTTTTTTTAAAGGTTAAGAACGGTCCTGCAGGTGTCTTGTGCTGCACTTCTGCTGAGCTAGCTTACTACAGTAAGAACAGGGTTCCCTGCAGTGCTGCTGAGATGGTAGTTGCTGTACGATGTGAACGGAGAAACCATCTTACGGTCAACTCTGCAGCACTAGAGCCACAGCATAAGCGCAAACTGACTAGAAAGAAAAGTTCATCACCATGCCTATTCACAGAGCATATCTTTCTTTCTTACGCTGACCAAACTATCACTGCTCCGAATGCAACCTTGCGAATCTGAGATAAGCATTCAGACATAGCCAGCCCTATTAATGAATACAGTCAGAATGATTACGCAGCGGTGCATGACACACAGTCAAAGCAGACCTCGTACAAGCTGCTGAAATCAGATGTTCACCTTTAATTAAATAGGCTAACATATGCCAGCTGTTTGCACCAAATACTCCTTTCAAACTCCATCTCATAACTACAACAGACAGGGAGAAGAGCAGATGTGTGTACACTCACAGCCCTGGCCACTCAACCTGTAGGACCAACGAAAGGGAGTTTATCCGTTCTCGCTCAGAAGGGGCAGGATAAGCGCTTGTGAAAAGTGTTCTGGTCTGAATCAGGAGAGAAATCTGCACAGATCAAGCAGCGTTTAAACAGCTCTAAACAAATATGTGGCTGGATTTTGATGTGAGAGACAACAGCAGATGGACTTTTTCACTGAAGGAAGAGTTATTATGGATTATGGACTCATATTTTAAGTTAAAAACGTCTTGATGGATTTGTTTCAGCTTCGGTCTTCTCCAGATGTTAACTGATGGACTGGAGTGCTGTGGATTACTTGTGGATTATTGTGATGTTTTTATCAGCTGTTTGGACTCTCATTCTGACGGCACCCATTCACTGCAGAGCATCCATTGCTGAGACACTGATGCAATGCTACATTTCTCCAGATCTGATGAAGAAACAAACTCATCTACAGCTTGGATGGCCTGAGAGTGAGCACATTTCAGCGAATTTCATTTTTTGGGGTGAATTATTCCTTTAATTAACATCATGTTTCGAGGCGTGTAGAAGCACATTTATTCTCAGAATATCCACATAATAAAATCCCAAGATGAAAACGACAATTAGGCTTTGCTCAAACGAATGTGTGTATTCATGAATGATGATGCAGAAATCCAAACTTTATTCATTTATAGGAAACATTTATTTCCTCAATCTTGTGTGCTCTGCATCTCCTCTGCTCCACACCGGCTATTAAAATAGACAATACTAGAATACTGAATTCTATAATCAATGCAATAAATTATTATAACAGAATCAATGCATCAATGTATTTTACACCCCTACTATCCACTATTAAACAGCATATTGTAGTGCTGGGCGGTATACCGGTTCATACCGAATGCCGGTGTTTATTTTTCTTATGATATGAATTTTTAAAATACCGCAATACCGGTGTATGTCGTTTAAATAATGTTCGGAACGCGTTTGAGGGGGGGTCTCTTTTCACTGTTGCACTGTGGTGAGGTTACTGACTGTTTGGAATTATAAATATGAGCGTAGTTCGTCTATTAATATAATGCAAAAAACATTTTTGTTTGTTTTGTTACTCAGACGCAGGTAGTGCGCTGCATGAGACAAAAAAGTAATATAGCCAAAACAACCGCATAGCCCTCTCTCAATCAGTAGAAAATATGGTTAACACCCGGTCATGCATGGAAAAAATTAAAAATAAATACCGTCATATACCGTGAAACCGGTATAATTTCGAAAAATACCGTGATATAAATGTTTGGTCATACCGCCCACCACTAGCATATTGATAAGCGTGCATTGCAGCATTGCTAAAACTGAATGTGGATTGCAATGCTCAGATTCTGATGTGCTGAGGTCACAATCACAGATGTCTCGGCGCTCTGACCAAGCAAAAATAGGCTTCAAAAACAGGAACTGCTCCCTTCCCATAAGACAACTTCCTCCATTCCTGAGTTCACACGCACCAGAGCCTGGAGTGGAGTAAAGGTCAGTCAAAAGAGTCTGCACACCATCAACAAACACAGCAACGGTTTAGCATCGCCAACAGCAGCATCAATGGCATTCACTTCCACAGTTAGGACAGACTAACAGCGAACCGTACACACGACCCAAACCTCAGACCCCAGAGACTCTCTAACAAAACTCTCTGTCGGCACCAAACGCTTTAATGTCAAAGCAAGCTACTCCACAAGACCCCCTAATTAGTGACAAAACTGTACAAAGTTTTAACACTTTTCGGCCAATATGCAAATTAATTAACCAGACTGCAATTTCATAATGCCAATTTATTTCAACTTGTGTCATTTGTTTCAAGCTTGAGTATTTCACAGGTCATGAAGAAAGCCACACCACATGAAAAAAATACACATTACACATTTTGCAAGTGGTTTAAAATAATAAAAAAGGTAAAAAACCCAACATGATCCATGCAGATGAACACATCAAAGAAAAGAAAAATGGCATGTCGTCATGTCAGCTGCACATATATCTGCGCTAGAAAGACTCGAGTCGTACTTTGCTCAACAAAATACGTTGCACACAGAACGGGCTGGAGCTGGCTTTCATCAGGCACATATGGTGACCCGGCGCAGTTTAATGAAGGAGAGGAGAGAGAAGACAAATCAATACTCATCCAGGATAAACAGCACACTGAAGGGGGATTACATCAACCCTTGAGGAGTGGCCAAAACACATCCTTTCCTCGACGAAACATGGCCAACTGACAGCGAGCATTAGCACTGTCCTGTGAGCGCACTTCACCGATGGCTCGAGTTCTGATGAAATTCTCACTTAATATATCTAGCCAGGTAAACTGAGTGCTGTGAATATACTATGCATTGTGCATCAGATGCCAAGAAAGCCAGCATGAACAGAGGACACCCAATAAACCTTGTCCAACAAATACAGTGTTCTTTCCATCGTGTCTTTTGAGCTCAAAAAGCCTGGAGCAACAGAATGTAATTACAAACAGTTAAAGCAGAACAAACACATGAACCACTCACAGGCCCCGTGTTTCAGAGCGCTTCGAATCATCCTCGCTGTTCTCCTCGCTCTCAGCAGTCCGCAGCTGTTTGTTTTGGGGTGAACTTTGCTCTGATTGGGAACTCAGAGGCTCAAACGCTCGCTGGCAGCAGATTCTAGAGCAGAACAAACACGACAGGCACATTTCCCTGCACGGCTCTCCACTGCTGAAATACAGGGATATTATTGAACGCTGCTCTTCTGCATCTACACGGCTTAAAAAAATGGTCGCATTTCCTAAAAGTGACAACTTTTGTTGACTTTAGGCTAGAGTGCTTTTGGAAACAGGATAAGGTAAAGGTTTCATTAAAACATTTTATTAAATTTTTCGCAAAAGAATGTAAACCAAAAATTACAGAGCAGTGCAGATGTGATTTTTTTTTAAATTAAGCCAGCATAAGAGACAAGTGTGTAAAATCAGAAGTTTATACCTTCAGCATGAACCATTTTCAGTGTTTCAAAACATAAATAAATACAAATGAAAAGCTGCACTCTTCTCGGTGCGTGTGTATTTAAATCTCAGTGACGTGAACAAAGGGTCAGATTAGGACGGCACGTGCAGCTCCATCATCATCTCATTATAATCTACTCATCATATTGATAATGAGATGAGAATGACAGCAACATGACCGGATACATCAATATCATAAAGCCCTGCAATTTCTGAGCGGATTCTTTTACCAGAGTCTACAGTCCCTTGATCATGACGAATGAACAAAAACATGTCCAGAAATACTAATTATATGCAGAAATTAATTAAGCTATTTTTAAATCCATTGTAATTTTAGCATTATGACATTGTTTTAACACCAGTTAAGCATATTTGTCCAAATTCTCATTATCGTAACTCATCCAGATGTTTTACTAGACGTTCAATTCTTGTTATTCTCAGTGTTTGAGACATTTTTACTGAACTGCAGTAATGAGTTTTATTTAAATCTGCTTAAATTGATCATAATGTAAAATACTAAAGCATTTAAATTTTTTTTTTTAAAATCACATTACAGCCATGAGAATTAGATTAGATGGGGTGCTTATGAGTTCGCAACAATTTCTACATTCTTTGGGGGTGAAAAACATGCACAAAACCTTGAGATATAACCTAGAAATTATAATACGAACAACCCAAAGACATATGCTACATGCTAGCAAGTACACAAACTAACAGGCCTGTAATCTCATCAGTAGGCCTCTGTTCAGTTGTGTTCGTTACCTGTTGATAGGTTTGCTTTGCGATGCTCCACGTGTCAGAACAATCAAAAACCCATGAAGCCCTGGGGACATCTCACAACACAATGGACGGCACCGATCCAAAAAAGCCCATCCCACATGACCCGGCACCTACAGGATGAGCCGTCTCACTTCGAGAAACAAGTGAAAGCAGACAAAGAGAGAAAGTGGGCATCATCGCTGGACGTCTGTGGCTGTCCCAGGCCACGCTGGAGTGGTGGCACGGGGCCGGGCAGCGTGTCAGACACTGCAGGCAATAATGCTGAGCCAATCAGAATTACAGACAGAGAGAGCGCTTACCAGGAACCCATGTGCTGCTACAGGATGCAGCCAGTGTTTAGTCCTCCGTGTGCCTTATCAGCACAGATTATCCCACACGGGACAGGGAAGAGGCTACTGAGACTTTGGCTGATCACTCTCACACACATAAACAGATGTTTGTTGATGTAATAACTACTTCCATGTCCACTGCACTGCACAAGCCCTTAAAAGTCAGCAAAGGGGACACCTCACGTGAGGAAAGAGCTGAACACTTTGGTCATTCTCGGGTTGATGTGAAACAGATGCTTGTTTGAACAAACACCTGCTGCCGTTCCCATCTTCATCCTGGGGCCACTGTTCAACTCCAGACGTGCTGGAAGAGTCACTCGTGTATTCATAACCTGCGCTAATAAATCTACGCGCAGCTGCATTAGGTGGGATCGCAATATAAACACACGCATTCACGTGAGCCGAGCCGTAGCAGAGCCACCAATGATGAATGGAAGCTGAAGACAGCTTCAAAGCCCAGAGAGGAAAAGAAAAGAAACTGCCCTAGAGTTTAAGCTGCGCTAAATATCACATTGAAAAGAAGTTAAACCAAAAATTTAAATATGCTCACCCTCAGGCCATCCAAGCTGTAGATGAGTTTGTTTCTTCATCAGATCTGGAGAAATGTAGCATTGCATCAGTGTCTCAGCAATGGATGCTCTGCAGTGAATGGGTGCCGTCAGAATGAGAGTCCAAACAGCTGATAAAAACATCACAATAATCCACAAGTAATCCACAGCACTCCAGTCCATCACTTAACATCTGGAGAAGACAAAAGCTGAGACTAATACGGCATTAAGACATTTTTAACTAAAATACGAGACCATAATCCATAATAAATGTGGGTGGAGACCACAGATGGACTTTTTCACTGGAGGAAGCATTATTATGGATTATTTTAGTTACAAACGTCTTGATGGATTTGTTTCAGCTTTTGTCTTCTCCAGATGTTAACTGATGGACTGGAGTGCTGTGGATTACTTGTGGATTATTGTGATGTTTTTATCAGCTGTTTGGACTCTCATTCTGACGGCACCCATTCACTGCAGAGCATCCATTCATTAGACACTGATGCAATGCTGCATTTCAACAAATCTGATGAAGAAACAAACTCATCAAGAGCATCTTGGATAGATGAATCAATAGATGTAGAGCAGCTCAGATAATTAGATTTTACAAGAATTTGATGAGAAGTTTATCTTGAGTGTATCTTGAGCACAGTTCGAGTCTTAGCAAATGACCGTTTTTCTGAGATCTTGATGTGCATCTCTGCATGAGATACGAGGGTTTTGTTCTTCACTTGAGACGGTTTTGATAGAAGTCTTATGTGAGCGTCAGCGAGGCACAGCTTTGACTAGAATCAAAGATAATCTCGAGCACACGAGGGCCACAAAATGCAAACACCTGCAGGAGACGTGATCCTTCTCAATGAGACACAAATGACGAAGAGATACATGCTATAGTACTAACTAACAGATATGATCATAACTTAGCCAGTCGACTGATTATATTAAGAATTGCACACATTGTTTGTATTTTGAAATGCTTTGTTTAAATATGGAAATGAGGCTTTATCTAATTATATATCCGCTAATTTGCGTAAATTTCAAAAAGATAAATCTAAACACATGGATAAAGCCAGGTTCAAATTTATTGTTTGATTTTGTTGGCATATTAGGAAAAGGTTTTTACAGAAGGTCATTCTGACGGCACCCATTCACTGCAGAGCATCCATTGCTGAGACACTGATGCAATGCTACATTTCTACAGATCTGATGAAGAAACAAACTCATCTACAGCTTGGATGGCCTGAGGGTAAGTGTTATGAAACAGAAGGACACAGGACAGGGACTGATACAGATGGGATGTTTATTGACAATATGGAGGCAGGCAGATAAACGAATGAGTAAAGCAGACTTAGCTGAGACACCGTTGAGTAGTGACAACCAGGTAAGAGTCCACAATGGTGAATGCACAACAGAAGATGAAGATGGCGGATCGAGATCGAGGAGGGTAAGTAGCGCAGGAAGGTAGCCAGGTTCATTACATAAGGTAACAACAAGAACAGACAAATGAGAAGTGCAAAGTGAGGGTTTATAAAGGGTGGCTTGATTGGTGAAGGCAGGTGCAGTGAATCTGAACTCCGGGGATTGTGAACAAGTGGGTGGAGCTGCAGGTTCTGGCGTGACTGGTGATTATGTGACAGTATCCCCCCCCCCCCGGCAGCTCCAGCGGCGACAAG